AGATTAGCACAACCTCCATGTTGGTAGCAGGTGGGAACGTTTACCAAAAAAAACCCCAGCATCCCACTGTTTGGAAACACCCTAAGATTGGAAATTGATGGGCAGGGATGATACAAGTTGTAGTCCAGCTACCTCTGTTGTATATTGTCTTCAGGGATTTTGATGCTTTTTAATTTGCAAGGTTTCTTGGCAACACAGGTCCTTGAGGTGTTTTCCTCTTGATAAGCTAAGCATTTTCTCATTGCTTCACTGCCAGCTGACTGCTGTATTCTCCAGAGACCCTACTGTTAGCACTGTGCAATATCTGCATCCAACCATTCTCAGAAACTTGGAGATACTTTTTTTTTTTAGATTTAGCAATTCAACAGATAGGAAATCTTGCTGACTGGACAATAGTCATCAGGTGTCTTTTAGTTTAGAAACATCCATGTTAGGATACCGTATTAATCTTTATTAGAGACATTTATACACCAACTGTTAACTAAGGGCAGACTAGAAATGTGACCGTTTTGTTATACAGTCAGTTCAGAATGCTGCACATTTCTTAAGATCTGGGATTCCATGGTAGCCATGATTATAGCATTGAAGAAATGAACCTATGCTGCCAATTCTCGAAGTAGACCAGTATAAAGTAAGCAGCACATAAGCGGCACACATGATTATAGCATGGCAAACAGGCAGCGTTCTTAGGAAAAGTTATTGCACACTTTAATGACGATGTATTTTAATGATGTTGTATAATTGGTATTTATATATTGTAAAGCACTTAGAAGCCCGTTTGGCATTGTTGTATGTTAATTAATAAAAGTAAATTCAATTGTTAAACAATACACAACATATTCAGGTATTAAGTGTAGGGCTGTGGTCTGGGAGTTTCCAAATTTATCCTGCATCATACTAGCAAAGTTTTTTTTTTACAACATTGCTTCAGATTCCTCTCTTCTGTATTGTGAATGAAACCAATGTTTGAAAGTACATGCACACAAAGGTGGAACAATATAACATGTGGAAAGAGTTGAGAGGCTTGTTTCAGTTTGTGCAAATGATCAATTTTAGTTTCTCAAGTTAATGAAGCATGTCTGATTAGATAAATAAACTTTGAGTTATGCTGTTTTTTCAATAGATATCTTATTTAGGTAGGTAGACCAGGATATAAAATTTTAAATTTGACTATCTTCAGTTACTATGACCCTTTGCAATGAAGTGAAACAGTACCTATTTTAAAGTGTAACATCAATATGTCTTTAAAAAAAGAGAGTAGCAAGTTATTGCTTCTCAGTTCCAATATAGCAGGGATGTAGTCTTCAAACATTGTGGGACTACAACTCCCATCATCCCTCTCCACTGGCCGTGTTGGCTGGAGCTGATGTAAGTTGGAGTCTAACAACATCTGGAATCTTGCAAGTTTCCCATCCCTGCAACATATAGGCATGTTTATTTTCTGAATGTTTTTATAAAAAATATTTATTTTGTTTCTGCATGGTGCTGTTTATAAGTTGATATAGTAAAACTTGAAAATGGAATCCATCAGCATTGTAGCAAAGAAAAGGAACTTTCTTCCCAACGAAAATATACTTCGGCTGCAATTCTGTGCACATTTACATGGGATTACTGTGTCCCACTGAACACAGTGAGACTTTCATCCAAATAAATATGCACAGCATTTTGCTACATAGCATCTTAAGTACAGCAGCTTGCAGAGCTATCTCTAAAATCAGTTATATTTTAAACATTCTAATAAAACGAAAGCATGTGTAAATTTCATCTTTTAGGTTTGGTAAAAGAGTATTGCATATATTTCAGTTTCCATAAAATATAAATGTTTGCTTTTTGTATTATATTGTTTACAGGATTGGTGGTTCTTCTTCATGCCTCCAAAATGTTTGGACACTTTACATCTCTGGGCGGGGCTATTCATTTTGTAAGTCAGCCATCCACCAGGTATCTTTTGGACTGCAATCCACCTGCCCCCAGCTGCCATGGCTGTACTGACAGGAGCTAATGAAAATTGTCAGTCCAAAACACCTGGAGGGCAGTTGGTTCAAAAAGGCTGCTTCAAAGGAAGGTGCCTCTGACCTTTAAAACAGATTTCAGTCCTGCATTGGTAAAAGATGAGAATGCTTCCAATATACGAGGGAAGAAAACAGTTGGAGCAGATGGGAAGAAATGGCCAGGGGTCTTAGAGAGACAAGCATGCAGCCACTATTCTGAGATTTGTGCCACCCTTTACATACTTTTTATATCTTGCTATCAATGCAGATGTTAAAATTAAGCAGTCTTCATGTGTTACATTTTCCAACATGGAGCTCAGGGCCATATTCAACAATGTAGTTCCACTAGTGGGAGCCAGCAGAAGGGCTCCTGCTAGCTCAATAGGGCTTCCTCATCTCCCCTGGACCCCCCCCCCAACAACACATAGAGGGAGGAGAGAGAAGGTCATTTTCTTGTGCAAGCAGAAATGCTGACGAAACACTTGTTTTAGCAGGACGTTGAATTATTCAGTCTCCAAGTTAGAAAAAGAAATGAGTTGCAAATAAGCATAGGCTGAGGGTATCCCTATCTTGATCCACTTCAATTGTGGACTCCACTATACAGCTGCAAATAAAATGTTTTAGATTTGTTGTAAAGTGCAATATACAATTGTGACACTATATGGCAACAGTGAGCTATGCCAAATTCAATGTATTTTTCAAAATGTTTTTTTAAAAAGCATTTTCACAGTGTTTTTAATATGTGTGTAGATTCCACCATGGTCAAAAAGACACATTGGTTATCCCAGTAAACAAATAAAACAGTTCTTTTTTAATGGACTTGTACACTCTGTTAAGCCTTAAAAAAATTCAGTAGCTTTTGGCAGGCTAAACCTGGGATATGAAAGCAGCTCCTGTACCTGTAAAATGTGTTATATGCGCACATTGATACATGTATTTTCAACTGTATATATTATACAGGTGCAGACAGAAAGCAGCTAGGTCAACAGTGTCCTGATGAGTATAAACTCAGTGGCAAATGTGTGTTTGTTGCTGTGTACTATCTGAAGTAGTCCTGCAAACTAAATGAAAGGAGAGAGAGACAGAAGCCTTTGGTACTGAAAAAGCATGTAGAACTTTAATAAAATGGCATAATGCCTTACATGTTTCCTTGGGGCAAAAAAATAATAATCATTTAAATTAGGAATGTACGGTCTACTTACCTTTTTATTATTAAAATCCCACATTTTTTTCAGTATGACTTTGAAGCTTGACTTCCCCCCTCTCTTGTATTTGATGATGCTTCCCACCCCCATATTCCCACTCTTCTTGCAAAGTTGGATGCCAGCCTGAGAATCTGTAAGAAAACAGGGGTGGTGTTCTTCATCAAAACTAAACAGGCATCCCTTCATTTACGCATGTTCAATTCACACGTGACCGCACATACGCACAGCCCTGGAAGCCCAGAGGTGGGGGTGGGAGAGAGACCTGAAGAGCCTCCAGCTTGCAAGGAGACCCTCCCTGGAGCCCAAAGGGTATGTCCTCTTCGAGCTCTGGGGAGGGTCTCCTCACCAGCCAGAATTGCAACTACTGCTGCTGCGCTTTCCCGCATATCAGCTGTTAGCCAGAAAACCCCACTGTGCCTCCAGCTTGCAAGGAGATTTGCCCTAGAGCTCGAAGAGGACATCCTCTTTGGTCTCTGGGGAAGGTCTGCTCATGACCTGGAGGTGCAGCAGGGTTCTCCCCATTTGTGCACATTCCACCTATGTGCAGGGGGCCAGAATTTAACCCCTGCATAAATGGGGATTTGTCTGTCTACTTAAGCATATGGTTGCAACTTTCCTGTTGAGAGTGTGGTAGCTTCTAGGTTATCAAGTTGTCAGTGCAAAGCAACTGCGCAACGCAGAACTCACACCTGCATTTAGGTGGTTTGGCAATGACTGACTCAGATCTCATAATGGTACCTCCTTGTGTCTGCTGGGGTTCAAGTGCTTTGGTTCCCAGGACCAGTCAGATGTAGAACCATGTAGCAGTCTAACAGATAAAGCTCCTTATAGCACCTTAAAGATAAATCAGTTAATTGCTACATATATTAAGCAAATCAGGCACATTTCCTCAGACACAGACTTATTCAAAATATGCCATTCATCACTGGAAACGTGTGGGGCACAGTACATGTGGGAATTGGTTTGTAAGGTGCCATGGGTTTCCTTTTTTATGTTCTTAGCTGCAGCAGAGTAGTTCAGCTGCTAATCTGAGATCTGCAACAGGCTGGGAGACGAAGGCAAAATAAAACGGCACTTGCAGTAGTAGTTGGGATTCAGCACTGCTTTCTCGCACCAAACTGCTGTTCCTATTTCACACATTTCTGGCTTTGCACTCAAAACTGACAGTTTCAGCATTTATTTGCTGCCTTTTAATGTTTTAATGTTATCATTGTTTTACTTGCATAGTAAAGTGATCATCACTGTATCTTGTGGGAGTTAGTTCTGTAAATTAAGTATGCATTGTGTGAAGAAGTGAATCTGTCAGTCAATTTTATTGGATGACCCAAGTTCTGGGGTTATTCAAGAGGGAGAAAAACATATACCTGCACACTTTTTCCACACCATGTATCCCTTTATAAACCTCTTATCCCTCCCCCCTTTCTAACCTAGAACTATTTAATTTTTTTTTCAAAGAGAAGGCACGAAAACACTCAAGGATGGTGTGAACTACAGCCAGTGAGGGACGTGGCCTATGAAAGGTCCCAAGGGCCACATTTGACCTGTGGGCCTGAGGTTCCTAACTTCTGAAGCATATATGGGAGATTAGGGTGAGATCTCCTGAGTCTGTGTCTCTGAAAAGTGCCTCTCATATCCTGTTATGGTGACCTGTGCCAAGATTGGCAGTAGGTGCACACTTGTTTCAAAAGGCCAGCTCAGTGGCTTCATAGTTTTGAAACCTCTTTCTCCTGAAGAAGAAACACTCTTAGTAAAATTCCTCTTCTCTCCCCCCCCCCCGCCTTTTTTATTCTTGATTTTTCCATAGGGTTCTGGCTAGTATGGACGATCATCATCATACTGAGTTGCTGCTGTGTCTGCCATCATCGGCGCGCCAAACACAGACTTCAGGCACAACAACGGCAGCATGAGATTAACCTGATTGCCTATCGTGAAGCTCATAACTACTCCACCCTGCCATTTTATTTCCGTATGTACTGCATGCAAGGAGCAAGCTGCCTTTCAAAGAGCAAAGAGCAAGATGTTGGCATATTGGGTGGGGGTCATGGACGCAACAGAGATTCACAGCAAAGATGGTGGGGATGGGTGCAGAGATGTCTGCTGGTGGCTGGAGAGGACCATGTAGTATACTGCAGTATGTTGGGAGACTTCACACGGTCCTTCTTGTCACCTTGGCTACGCTAGCTTGAAGCACAATCACAGATAACTCTGACTAGTGGGGGCACAATCTAAATCTTGTGGATAAATTTCTGGGTCACAGAGAGAGAGAGAGATTTGAATTCGTTTCCCTCTGAACATTGTAGAGCAGTGCTTTACTCAGACTTGTTTTCCAGCTCTAGTGGTTGGTTAGACTCATAAAAGGAGGAAGTGGATTGACAGATTTCTTCACATTTTAATCTGCGCAGTAGCGGCAGCAGTGACAAGGCTGAGATTTTTTTTAAAAAAAACTTCCCACACATTTTCCTCTGCAGCTGACACAACATGAGTGTCTCTAAGAAAGAGGCACCACAGAATAGCTAATATGGTGGTGTGGCAGAGGGGCAACACACCCAAGGTCTCTTGAGTCAAGAATAAATGTAATGATGGGTGATGCTACTTCATTTTGCCCATGTCAATTTTAATTAATACTTTATTACTTTAAAACAAAAAACAAAATAAAAACATTAGCCACCTAGTAGAAGGCAATGGAAAAAGAGAAGTAGGACAACTGAGAAAATGCTACATAGAGGAGAGAGAACCATCTCTCTCTCTCTCTCTCTCTCTCTCTCTCTCTCTCTCTCTCTCCTTTTGCACAAAATCAGGGGGAAGACAATTTAAATCAGCTCCCAGTTGACTCTGGGATGTAACATTCCTTAATTTCATAGGTCTCTCTGAATACTACACACTGCTTTGCCTTAGTTTCTTCCAGCTGTAACATATGGAAAATGGACTGCTTCCTTAGCCAAATCAGGATGGAATTTTTATTATTATTAATATAATTTGTTGAAGTTAAGTCCAAAGTGTTGTTAAATTACTTTCAATTGTGCTTTCTGACAACATTTATAAAGTTGGAACTATTTAGGTAATCTAGAGGTTAACTTGTCCTCCCTGCCTCCCCATTTAGGATTTTTGCCAAATTATTTACTACCTCCCTATGAGGAAGTGGTGAACCGACCTCCGACCCCTCCCCCACCATATAGTGCCTTACATCAGCAATGCGTTCCACCTGGCGGCGGCAGTGCAGCACCAGATACAAGAAACCTACAGCCAGCCCATACAGGCTCTCTGTCAGGAGCAGGAAGCAATAATGGAAACACGGACAGCACTGCCTCCTCCAGCACCGGGAGCCCCGAATCGTCCACCCTGCTAGCTGAGCGATCAACCACCAAAGCAACAAGTGGCGAGCGAAGGAACTCCAGCAGTGGGGCAGAGTTGGAAGAGACGGCCAACCACGCGCCCTCTTCCGACAAGGAGTCAGAGTGCAAGGAGGAACTGCTTAAGGATTACAACTCGGAAAGCTTAGACCACAACAACGCCTTCTCCGATGCTAAAGACAAGACGCCGGGCAGACACCGAAGGTTCACCGGTGACTCGGGCATTGAAATCTGCATCTGCAACCAGGGCCACCACGATGGTGATCTCAAGGAGTTGGATGGGTTCATTGATGATGGGCCCATGGACTTCTGCGATAGCTGCAGTGGCCACCCTCCCCATGGAGATGAGGAAGAAGGGCTTTTCAATGCCCCGGATGAGCAACATCAAGAGCACAGCCACCACCACCTCCCCCGGCAGCCTGTTTGTGTGCTCCTGAACACCATAAACGAACAGGACTCGCCAAACTCTCATACCAATACCTCCCCCAGCTAAAATAAGCAAAGCGAGAAGGGATATTCTACAAAAGGATAAACATGACTTCAGCCAAAAACAAGTTGGTTCAGCTTTTTCTTCAGATGTAACTTTGGGAATAACCCCTAAATAATAGGTATGGAGGAAGGGGCAGAAGCTTCTGGGCTTCCCTGCCTCCCGCCCCCCCTTTAATTGCCTCCATCTGGTTAGGGTTTAGGATTAAGAGTGAGATCATTTTTATACATATAACAAACGAGAGAAAAACTTTTCCTATTGCTGATTTTGGTGACGGTTTACTTGGTTGGTTGTTTTCTTGAAGGTTTTCAATACCTGCTTTATTTTATTATCAGAAAGACTTAACTTGACCCTGTGAGAACAAGGAGTGCTCATGTATCTCTCCCCCCTCCCTCCTCTTTCCCAGGCGTCTTCCCAGAAGCCAGTGGCATTTGAGGGCGCTGGCGGTTTGCCCGGTCAGTGCCATTGAGGGGTTAAAATGAATCCCCAGAGAGATGTGGGTGGGCTTTGGGGTTTTTTTCCTGAATTGATACAGTGCTGTACTCTCTGGTGCATTGTTGGTTAGAGCAACCCGTAGGACTTTTTCCCCCCTCTTGAAGCTGGTGACTATAAAGGACCAGTTTCTTCCAGAAAAAAAACAAACTGCTAGCCTGAAACATAGCAGTTTATGCAAAAAGCGGGTTGTGGATGGTGACTTTAATTTTATTTTTATTTGGGGGAAAAAGAAAGGCAAATGTATTCCTTCAGTTGATGACTATGAGTTGAGACTCCTGGCAGAGGACCTGCCTTTTTCCAGTACTGTGGTCTCTAAATCTCATTCAATAGGTGTGCTACAATGCAACAGAACAGGGACTTTGCAACTTTAGGCCAGCACGCTAGTTAAAATGACAAAACCAAACAAAACCAAACACACACAACAGGGCTGTCTTTTTGGCCAGCGTGCCTTCAGGTTTCAGCGATGCTTGTTGAACAAATGGAGGCAAGAACTCCATCCACTGCAAAAGGATAACTTGCAGCTTCGATGTGGAAGACCTGTGCAGTATTTTTCTTTTTTCTTTCTTTCTTTCTTTTTTAGTCCACAAGTTTAGCATGATCCTAATGGTGACCACTTAAAAGGATAGAGTGTCTGTGTTTCTCTCTCTTGATAGCGGCAACAGGCTACTGTATAACGTCTGTGAGTGTGTATGTGTGTCTGACTGCAGTACATGCATGTGTGTTTCCTACTGGTGATACGAAACTTGCTGCTGTAAGACTGCAAAAACAAAACAGAAAAGACTGTTGCTTTGCTTTAAACAAACAGTGGAGCTTTTGTTAGTAACAACCCCAAGGGGGAAGGAAAAGAAACAAACTGAAGCAGCTGAAACTAACATTCCCTGGAGCGTTCCTGTGGAAGAGTGCAAGCCTTGGTTTCTATATTAGGTGTGATAGAGATTTGTTTTCCCATTTCTTTAATTACGGTTGTCTGGGTCATTTATGTCATAAAATGGACTTTCAGATTTGATTGCTTGAAACCAAAATCAGTTTGAAATACGATGTAAGCCCAAATATAATGCCTTTTTTCTGATAATCCATGGACTGTGTCTCATTTTGTTTGGGGAAAGATAGAGCAGTTGAGATATATCATGATGAAAGAAGAGGGTTGGGGCTTTATTTTTTTGCACTTCAAAGTGAACTTAACTCATGCCCAGAATTATACGATTAACACGGGGCTGGTGAGAGCACATCTTTATGTTTCACTATATACAAGGGAGGTGTTGGTGCTCCTCTCCACTGACTTCCTTCAAATATCGCCTATGCCACAGGTAGGGAAACTGTGGCCCTTCAGATGTTACTGGACTATAAGTCACATCGTCCTTGCTCATTCACCATTCTGGTTGGAGCTGATGGGACTTGGAGTTCAACAACATCTGGAAGGCTACAGGTTCCCCAGCCCATGACCTGCCAAGGCAAGGTGACATGCTCCCTGCAGAAGATATTAGGGTACGCTTAAAGGGCAGCAACAATCCTGTAAAGACTCCAAGTCACCCAGTGATCTTCATGACTGAGGAGGGATCTGAACCCAAGTGAAGTTCAGATCATGCTATCCATGACATCACACATTTAGATTTTCTGCTACCCAAATGCCCTGAGCCAAATGCCCTGAGCCATCTCTGCCTACATAAAAAGAGCAAATTATTTGAGCAGAGCACTATCCTAGTAGCTCAGGGGAAAGGTGAATATATTACTGTGCATGTTTACTGCAGACAACAGCATACAGCAGACCAAAGCCTGATAACCACTAAAATCATCACAATAAGGGAGATGACAGCTCCTAGGAACAAACCCCTTTGTCCCAAGTCCTCAGCTCTCCTGAGTTTCAACCCCTCTCACAAAACCAACATCTATTTCGTGGAATTAAACTCACTCTCAGATGTGGGAAAACCTCACTCTATATCTGCAATCCAGTTGGCACCTTTCTGCATGCCAGATGGAGACAATAAGGCTTTCTGTTCTTCAGTTGATATTTGGGTTGCTTTTGATGTTTTCAAAGCACATGCAGGAGCTGGGTGGAACGTTGAGCACTTGCAAATTGTGGTTGGGGTTTTGAGACACATCTTACCTTGCTGCTGGGTCAAGACACTCCTCAATGGACTTAAAACCTTGGGAACCCCACACATTTCCTTATGCTTACATCTGCAGCGCAAGTATGGTTTCAGATTTTATAGAGCTAGTACATGTGTCCCAAAGCAGATTCAATATGTGCTCAAAGCTTTCCATGGGGCGCAAACAGAGAAATGTCAGAGTTCCATGTTAAAGCAGAAAAATGAAACTTCCTGAAACTCTCTTCATTGTGTATTCAAACCCTGTACTATCAAACTGCTGCAAACACCAGATAAAACAAATAAAACAGTTCTTTTTTAATGGACTTGTACACTCTGTTAAGCCTTAAAAAAATTCAGTAGCTTTTGGCAGGCTAAACCTGGGATATGAAAGCAGCTCCTGTACCTGTAAAATGTGTTATATGCGCACATTGATACATGTATTTTCAACTGTATATATTATACAGGTGCAGACAGAAAGCAGCTAGGTCAACAGTGTCCTGATGAGTATAAACTCAGTGGCAAATGTGTGTTTGTTGCTGTGTACTATCTGAAGTAGTCCTGCAAACTAAATGAAAGGAGAGAGAGACAGAAGTCTTTGGTACTGAAAAAGCATGTAGAACTTTAATAAAATGGCATAATGCCTTACATGTTTCCTTGGGGCAAAAAAATAATAATCATTTAAATTAGGAATGTACGGTCTACTTACCTTTTTATTATTAAAATCCCACATTTTTTTCAGTATGACTTTGAAGCTTGACTTCCCCCCTCTCTTGTATTTGATGATGCTTCCCACCCCCATATTCCCACTCTTCTTGCAAAGTTGGATGCCAGCCTGAGAATCTGTAAGAAAACAGGGGTGGTTACATCTGCAGCGCAAGTATGGTTTCAGATTTTATAGAGCTAGTACATGTGTCCCAAAGCAGATTCAATATGTGCTCAAAGCTTTCCATGGGGCGCAAACAGAGAAATGTCAGAGTTAAAGCAGAAAAATGAAACTTCCTGAAACTCTCTTCATTGTGTATTCAAACCCTGCACTATCAAACTGCTGCAAACACCAGATTCTTTGCCCAGGAAACCCACTTTCTGCACTCAAATTACATGGTGGAAATTAAAAAAAAAAAAGTATGTTTATAGTTCCATCAAGTTGCTGTGTTGTTCCATGTGTCAGAGCTATGACCAGGTTCCAATCCAGACCGGGGTTTGTTTCATCTAGCTGAGGTTCCCTGAGACTCAGGGGTGGGCTTAGGGTTGAGTTCTCATTTTCCCAGCAAGGATAACAAGCCACTCTTCCTGTATTTTTGCCAGGTTGCTGTAGACGTCATACTGTACGTCAATCATTGGAGCTAATGTTGCACACTCCTATATCCTTTCTGCTCCTGAAGAAGATAAAAGGGACAACAGGAAGCTGTGCAAAAGTTCCTTCCCCAGATCGTTTAGAAAATGCTACTTGCCTGTTTAAAGATATATCCCGATCATGGTTAAAGGAAGAAAAAGATCCTTAAAATCCCAGCTTTCACACAGAAGTTTTGAAATGTAGGGATCCTGTGTCTTCTTATTAGCTGATTTATTTTCCATTGCATAAAAAGCCACATGCAGCACACATCAGTTCTTGGTTTACAAGCCTGATTTTGGCTGATTGCCAAACTACATGCTGAGCATTTTGGCAATAGTTTTATCAGCATTTTGGTAGTAGCATGTGTTACGGAGAGCAAGTCAGACAATACCTTTATTCAGGCCAGCAAATGAACTTTTGGAAGCGATCCTGAATTGGATCAAGGCTGCAGCATCTCCCCCCCACCCCACAGCAGCTAGCCATGTGCCTCTCCAGGGGTCAGCAAGGTTTACCTTGCCTGGGCCGGTTCACTCCAGCGGAGATCTCTCCGTGGGCCGGATCGCATGCAGGCCTGCGATTTCTGGCATCTATGTCTGCATAGACACAATTTCCGGCATCTGTGCAGACGTGATTTTTGGTGTCTGTGCAGGCGTGATTTTCGGCACCACGGAAGCAAGTCCCCATGCCGCGCTGTGCCGGCTTAGCGCAGCACGCGGGGACTTGCCGAATGGGCGGCTCAGTTCAGGGGCAGCTCGTGGGCAGGTTAAACGATTCCCGTGGGCCTCTTGTGGCCTATGGGCCTTAGGTTGCTGACCCCTGCTCTAGGCAGCCCTTAATGCCAGTGCCTTCCGTTGTTGCTCCCTAGCCGGTAGCTTATGATTGTTTATTTTGGATGGGAGGATCTCTCTGTTTCTCCTTTTTTCCAATCTTAAATTCAGCTCTCTACATCTTGCAGCAATTTGTGATTTTGTTAAAATAAATTTAAAAATCCCAATGAAAATTCACCAGCATTTTAGTGCAAATTTTTTGTACGCATTTGTGCAAACAAGTTTCCCCAATATAATGCACAAGCTGTTCCTCTGTAGGGGGCAATATTGACTTGGAATAATTAACATCTTTGCCAAGTTACAGTTTTAGAGATCCATAGGAAATTAGGAAATCCAAGATTACGGGGGTTGGATTAGATAACCCTCCGGTCCCTTCCAACTCTGCAATTGTATGATTCTATGAATATGTATTTTCTGCACATACTCAGAGAGGTAAGTATGCTGTAGCAGCTTCCTCAGAGCCAGACTGTCAGCAAGACATTTGGAATATGAGAGGAAGAGTATTTCTTTCTGGATTTGTTTGTGATTGAAGAGCAGCTGTGCTCTGAGGGTGCATGCTTTCCCAGTTCATCTGGCCACATGCCCAGGTTGGAGGGCCCACAGGTATTTTGGTATTAATTCGCCATGCTTTATTGCTTTTGTTCTGTGTCTGCTGCAAGAAAGTAACAATCTCCTGCTTACCATTGCTTCATATGTCCCTAGGGTTATTGTGTAACTTGGTATAATTACCCAGGGAGCCAGAAGCACACGAGGACTCAGCATGGGAAGCAACGGGAGAAGTTTATTCCCATCTGAAGGAACAGTAATAAACAGATTCCAGTGAAATCGACAGACATTGCTCATTGACTTGGGTAGGTTCTCTCAGTGTTAGCAAGTTCAATTATTGCTGAAGGGGAAGCACACATTCCCGCAAATATTAAGTACTTGCTTGTGATGTAAATATGTCATACAGTAGTGCCTCGGGTTAAGTACTTAATTCGTTCCAGAGGTCTGTTCTTAACCTGAAACTGTTCTTAACCTGAAGCACCACTTTAGCTAATGGGGCCTCCTGCTGCCGCCGTGCTGCTGGAGCACAATTTCTGTTCTCATCCTGAAGCAAAGTTCTTAACCTGAAGCACTATTTCTGGGTTAGCGGAGTCTGTAACCTGAAGCATATGTAACCTGAAGTGTATGTAACCTGAGGTACCACTGTATCTTGTAATGCTATCACCTAGCCATGGTTCTGGGCTGTCGTGAGTTTATCATCTACTGTATTAGAGTCAGCTTTCTCTTTCTTGTTCTCTATCAGGTCCTCTGTAGGTGTGAAACTCCTTCTGGAAACCATTTCAAATGTTGAATTCTCACTTCTGGCACATATTCAGGGCACTCCCCTGAAGCTGAGTGCTAAAAGGAATGGTGTTGATTTTAAATACAGTAACCCCAGGGCTGTCCATGACATTTTGCTCTCATACTGTCATGAAGAATTGTGTTTAATAAGATGTCTGTAAAGCCCTTAGCAGTAAGAATCAGTAACTCCACTTCTGGAAATTTCTGGTCTTAATTGTTCACCCTTTGGCATGAGGCACAAGGAATGCATTAACATAGTTCTAGTGAAAGGTATTGAGACTGTGAAAGTCAACCAATGTCAAAATGTGCAGACTGGAGAGTATGACATAAGGTAAAGCATATGAAGGGAGTAAACGGACCCTGTCTCTTAATATAAGCAGTAAGAGGACACTTAAAAAGACAAGAAGCCAATTAAGATCATACAAATAAATTGCATTGCCCCTTGCAGCAAGTGGCTGTGGAGACCAAGAGTTTGAGAAGATTCACAGAAGGAATGTGT